CAACTTTGGATCCAGTACTGACAAATGAGGAACTGATGGTAGAATCAATTGCAATCACAACTCTGTTGGGGCGCAGTGATCAGGCTGTATTATTGTTCCAATGCCTTTACTATGCATCAGTAATAACAGTTTCTTCGGACCACTTTCGCATCTCAACACCCTGGCTCATGGAATCCAGTGGATCTCCCCTGATATGAGATGGCATCCCCTGGAATCCAGGAGAAAACTTACTAACAGCAACAACAACATTGGTGGCTGCCGTTACAACAGTCAAGCGTCTATGCCAGCCGACTATTTGAATTAGCCATTCGCAGTCGAACTACGAAATGGATAATGTAAAGGAACTTTTACTGGAGTCAGTTCAAACGTTGTCCATACCCCAGCACTTGGGGGCTTACAGGCTCCTTTGAAACCATTACACCAATTTGTAGCGGGAAGACAAGCACACTTAACATGATATGCTGGCGAGAAAATTTATCGCAAACCCGAAGCTATTATATAAGCATGTAAACGCTTCCTGGAAAGTCAAACACGGCGTTCCGATACTAAACTTAGCAGGAAGTGTTTCAACGACAACAAAGGGGGCTGCAGAGATGCTTGGACTACAGTACTCTCAAGTTATCAATGAGCTAAGTACTATTGGGTTAGCACTTCCCCATTTGCTGGAGCATATTTCTTACCCATTACTGACAGACATTATCTTTTCTCCTGAAAGGATAAAGGCAAAGCTCCTGATTTTAAAGAAGAACTCATCACCGGGTTTAGGTAACATACATCCACAAGCCCTTATCACCCTGGCAAGTCAAATAACCAAAAATCGTTTGAAGATACTGTACTTCCTCAGGTGTGAAAAAACAGTGTTATTTCACCAATTTACAAAGGTGGATGCCGTGGTGACCCAGCCAATTACCGCCTGTCACTGTCCTTCCAGTGTTGTCCATAGTCATGGAATACATTTTTGCAGATTCTGTAATGGATCATATTGGAGAAAAATGGTTTACTATCCCCAACCCAGCAAAAAATCGTTTATGCGCAACTAACTTGATTTTGGCTGGGGACGATTAGACTCATGCTGTAGACCAAGGCAAAGGGGTAGATGGTATTAACCTGGACTTCTCTAAAGCATTTCATAGCGTAAATCATCAAATACTGATAAAGAAGCTGCATAACTGTGGAATCTGTGGACTCGTTCTTGGCTTGATCGAGGAGTTTCTTTGTCTACGTATCATGTCAGTTTGTGTTTTTGATTCACTTTCTGATCCAATGAATGTCAACCGTGGGGTTCCACAGGGATCTGTGCTAGGCAAAAGTCTTTTTCTTGTCTTTATACATGATCTTCCAGACGTCCTCAGACCACAAACTCTGCTGTTTGCAGACGATGCCAAAATATGGAGGACAATAACAAAACCAGAAGATTCATATGATCTCCATAACGCTCTTGACGAAGCCCACAGATGGTCTGTCTCCAATGACATGGAATTCCACGTTATGAAATGTGAAGTCCTATCAATACGTCACAATGGCCGTTTTTCCTACACTCTCCGACACGAAACTCTGCCTCATGCTCCATCTGAGAAGCGACAGGGAGTAGTCATTCGCACAGGCTTGAGTTGCTCCGCAAACTGTCCCATGGCATCATCTATGGCGGTAAAATAGGTTGGACTGCTCAAACGTGTTTTTGGATCGTTTGAGCCGGCTTTGTCTGTTAGCCACGTATATCCGTCCATTCACCGAGTACCCCATTCAGGCCTGGAACCCATGTCTGCAGCGTGGTTGGAAGACGCTTGAACATCCCCAGAGAATGGCTACCAAGATGGTCAAAGGTATACATTCCAAGACCTATGGAGAAAGATTACAGCTATTGGGGCTATATTCGTCTCAATATCGTCAAATCAGAGGTGATATGATCTTGATGGATCGAATTTTCCAACAGCCCAAAATATCTTTTGGTTCCATCAACCAATGTTCATATCAGAGAGCATCCACCGAAGTTGGCACTCCAAAAGAGCCGTCTCAACTGCAGACGCCATTCGTTTGCAGTCAGAGTGTGCAGCACATGAAAATCTCTACCACCTCACGTGGTCTGTGCCCCAACATTAGTATCTTTCAAGCGTCAGCTTGATGATGCTCTGGCAAACATTATGTTTCAACACCCAGCTACATAATACATTCTTCTGTGCTCGTCAAAAACATCCCATTACTCTTTTACTTACATGGACGAACTGTGATCTTGTGAATCGTGTTCCGAACCGAAGTGTAAACACCCTATGGGATTTGATAAGCGAAGTCTTTGTAAGTTTTTTCTATATTACAAATTTGAAAGAAAAATGAATTTGAAATATTTCGATGTTTGTAATAGGATTCATGATGGGAAAACATGTGAACAAGCGTCAAATCTTTAAATTGGCTCCAATACCGTTCTAAAAACTAATCCTCTAACAGAAACAGCGTCAATCCGTACCTGGCCCATCTCTTGTTTAATCGTACTGTAATTGCCACCGACAATAGGGAAAGACTCCTGAAGAAGTTTTTCTTCTACTACTGTATCAATTATATCTCTAATTTTAATCGTTATTTATATAGTGTTGAAAAATTTTGATCATCTGATTCACACGTTGAATCTAAAAAAGATCACTGGACCTGAATTGATTTTCACTCAGGGTGCAGACCGTCATGAGTGTACCTTATAAGGGTTCTTAACCCGAAGGCCAACCGAGAAATTCACTCCACGTGAACGAGACTTCCGGGTTCATTTTTCTCTAGGTGATGAGAATTTGCACCCACGCATTTTTGCAGATCGTCATCGGTGAACTTATTGTTCATGCATTCGTCTTTAATTAATTATTAATTAATCTTTCGTTTAAAAAACATTCCAAACTCTTAAGCATATCCATCATTTTGCAGATTTTCTACCGTAACTGTTCTACTCCGCATAGAAACTGCTGCAAATTCTTACTTCCTCTTTGTTCACAATCGATTGTCCATTGTCCATTTCACTCGGTTCAGACTGCTCTGTCATCACTGCTCGGACAATGAAAGAACTAGTTGTATTTAATGCAGTCAAACAAATTCGAGTTGTACACCCTTACTTTTGAGCTACACACTCGACAGTCAACACCTTTAGTGAATGGTATAATAAATTTAGAATATTCTGTTTAATTCAACCTGTTCCATTCTTCAAGGCAACAGGCTCTGATAACGGTCTTGGGCATGGGTTTTACTTCTCACCGGTTCGGTACTACCCCACTTATTGAGGGTACTTCCCTTGCGACGAAAATCCATGAGGTGACTCCCAACTGGAAGCTTCGTGATTCGAGTCCCGGTTTTAATATAACAGCTACACACTACCGAAAAAACGGTTGCCCAGTGCTGTTTTCCGTCACTGCAGAGCTCTCTGTCGCAAACAAAGTACATGTATCAGAATGCAGCGTTGGACACATTTCCACTCCAAGTTTGACACTTGTAATCTTCGAATGAAAGTTCAGCCCTTTCAATACACAAGTTCCTAGAAGACCTATCCAGGCATGTTGGTGTTGGTGAGTTCTCCCAGCTGGAAGTGTAGTTCGCAGGCGTTTCGTAGCCAAGGTAGGTAACATCATCAGTGCGACTTCGAGGAAGCGCCAGTCCTCAGTGGGATAGGGCTTATATAATTCTGTTCGAGGGTTTCGAATGGCTGTTTGCGTCCCTTTAATCCTATTGGTCAATAGCACCCGTTGACTGTGATTTGATTAACCGTTCCGTTGTCATAATGACCATCCTTTCTCTCATTGGTCGACCGGCTTTGCTGGAGCAACCGCAAACCGGTTTTGAACGGGTCGCAAACTGGTTAGAACTGTTTTTGCATCGATTCTAGCTGGAGCACCCTCGGGTTAACAGTTTTATCTCAGATAGTGATAGATAGGTTCCAGTTCTCTATGCTTATTTATACTGTCCGTTCTGGAGTGCCATGCTTCGATGAATTCCCGTATTGACTTGAAGGATCCTCTTCCGATTATTCTTGCGTTGTCCAGTTCGAAGACGATTCTCAGCATCCATGTGGTTGTTGCCCGTTTTGTTCTTTCTCCTAGGTGAATTTGATTCCAGCGAACACATTGTTGATTAGGCGGTGCGTCCCCTCCAGTTGGTTAAATTTCAGGATGTCAAAGGTATCATCAACTGAACCACAATTTCGGGTTGATGATACCAATTACAGTAGTCTCCAATCTCTGCATAACCACTTCTGAAATAAGTCCTAAATTGGTGATCCCATCGGGATGACTTGTATTTGTTCGTATTCGTTCATTGAATTGGAAATACGTGTAGAGATACAGATCCAAAAGGTCTACATCATTTCAATCCAAGCATGTCAACAAAACTATGAAAACAATTGTTCTGCTTGATTTTGCATTCCCATATTGTTCATATTGACATATAGAAGTGTTTCAAAATGTTTCTCATCTCGTCAACAAGCCGACATGGTTTCTACGAAAATGGAAATTGTGAATGATTGCCGACGCTTGGAACTCTTGAACTGAGGGATACAGAATTCGTTGCAGAGTTTGACCACAGTGTTGACCAATGTGTTTTGAATCGATTCCACGCGGTTTCCATGACTGTAAGTACGTAGGTATAAATGGAGTTTGCCATCTAAATTACCTGTCTGATGTGGTCTCATGAGAAACTCGCATGTACATGTGATCAGGCCTGCAAAGTGAATTACCCACGTGTGCACGCGTGTGTGTTACTGCAGGCGCATGTGCAATTGCGATTCACACATACAACGTCGCACTATAGATCGATGACAGTACCACTCCGAATTTGATTGGCCGAAATGTTTTGCGTTGTTTACCTAGCCGAAATCCGTAGACATTTTGGATGATAACCTACGAACCCGGAAGTTACATTTTCGTCACAGGATATATAACCGTACCAACAAACCCCACAATCGTCTATAGCGTACTTCTTTAGTGATTTGCACTTTTAGATAGCAAATCAGGAAAGTTCAACTCTATCTGGTTGGTATGCGCGTGGCGAAGTTCAAACCCCAAGTATGTAACCATGTGCACTTCTGTCCTCAAATTGTTGCGTTGCTCATTTTAGCCGAAATCGCGGCACACCCGAGTTGGTGGTGTCAATAGAGTGCTTCGAATGAAAGCGATCATACAATTGTTAAAAGCAAGCTGGCGATATCCAGGCAATAAAAGACTTCACGATTCGACGGACTGTATGTCAGTTGTGGATCTTCTCTTGCGTTCGACAGATCAGAGGACATTTACCGACCTGTTCGGAATGACTGCTGGGGAAGAATTGTTCCGACAGTTTGCTGAACTGAAAGGTGAGTAGTAGTAGACGTTGGACTTCACTGTTTTTCTGAACTTACTAAGTGATGATCGGTTTTCTATTTGATTAATTAGTTAGAAACTGAATAGAAATTGAGAGGCACAACTAACTGATGAGCACTCTTTCTCAGTTTTGAACTTACAGGTACGAGAAGGTTAAATTTATAATTAAACTAATTTGAATTTATAATGAATAAATATTTTCTGTTTGTTCAAATTATCATCGATGTGAAATGAAATAAATTGCTAGCGGTAAAGCTCTAGGCCTGACTGAGTTCAAAGAAGTTCCTGATTATTGAATTAGTTTATACCCAGTCCACACAGCCGTCCTGTTCGAGTCCTATACGAGTCCTATTGGAGTCCTAACCGAGTCCCATGGGAGTCCCATCGGAGTTCGTTTGCACCATAAACGGGGCTCCAATCAAACTCCCTCCAACAGGACTCGTATGGGACTCCCATGGGAATCCGGTGGGACTCGGATGGGAATCAGATAGGACTCCAATGGGACTCTATGGGACGGTTCCGGAAAGGACTGCCTTACATTCTATTAATCGTTGCTTACATCATCTTACATCTTTGTGTTCTCTCACATACTTTGACGTGATTTTCACCGAGGAAGATCTTTCTCACGAAGTAATCTACATATTGGTAAACAGTTGGATAAAACAGCACGCTTATCGACCACCAACTTCGCAACATAAGTGGATTTCACCCCATATTTGTTGTTAATGCCAAACATACACATGTAAAACTAGTTCATTTAGACGAACTGCGAGCTGATCTAACAGCTACTAAAAAACACAATTTTATTGATTTTCAGTATTTAATTTATCATTCCAATAATTTATTCGGTTCATTTTTCGCATTACATTAAAATCAAGTATACATGGTCCCGAAGGGTCTCAAACAGGACTCCAATGGGACGACGTTTAACGGAGGAGCCTCAGAGGGACTCAACTAAGACTCAAATGGGACGGCCAACCGTCCCGCTGTGCGGACAGGGTACCGAAGAAGTAGGGAAAATGAGATCGGGTTAAGAATAGACGGAAGTCAACCGAATTTATTTTACAAGCGAAAACTTAAAGTGATTTCCCAAGAAGCTTATTTGTTTTATGCATTTTGAATAACAGAATGTGCTCGGCAATAAACGAACCGAACCTCATTTGAAAATCGGACTTGTCATTCCGCGTGAGAAAAAAAGGACCTCAATTCTGCATATGTTTACGCATCAGATAACGAAGGGAGTTGCGCTATGCTACAAAAAACATGATCGAATTCACATCTGAACTAATTCAACGAGTCGGACATCTAAATTTACATCCGGCTCGCCATTTATCAAAATAGTATTGTCATTGCTTATGAAGGATGAGGCTACAAACGAAACACTGTCAGAAGACACAGCAGATTAGCTAGGTAGCAATGATAGGATTTGAAACACTGAACCTTTTTGCTGATCATCTGGGCACACCTTCGCACTCTATCTCTAGGTTGTGATGCATAGGCACCATAGCAACCGTTTTCACTGACATAAGAACGTGGTTTTTGAGTTTTGGACTACTGTTATTATGACACCTCACCCCTCCCCTAACTACATTTTCCAGTATTGAATTCATTTCGATTTAGGTTCCCGTGAAAAAGCTTCAACCGCATCTCAGGCGACAATTCTGGAGAATGAACACCGCGCCGGTCTGGCTGACACAGAATCGGATTTAGTCCCAGAGGTGAAATCATCCGTCCCGCATTCATCCGGATCGTCCTCGGATTCATGTTCAACTCCCACCTCATCCACAGACTCCTCATTACCAACAGCCAAATGGAATGAAAAACGGACTCTATGGAAATTCATTCTATGTCTCTTAGAGATGCCAGAGGCCATGTCTGATTCGATTATTTGGTTAAATAAAGAACGGGGTACTTTCAAATTCACCAAAAATTCCGGGTCAAGAAAGGTTGCCGAGCTGTGGGGATTGGTCAAGGGCAATCGGAAGATGACTTACGACAGTATGACTCGAAACTTTCGAGTCCCTGACGCTCGTATTTTTCATCCGTCCAATCAACGTCTAGTGTATTGCTTCAACTGGGAATATGGTGAAGCGTTGGAATTTTACAAGAGTTTGGCCAACCCTTCTAGTGTGGAATATTACAGAAATGTGAAAAATTTGGTGACCAAGTATTATAGAAAACTGCAACAAAATTCCGGCGGAACCCCGTGAAAGTGTGTATTTTATCGACTTAAGTTGGTCTTGATATTCGGAAAAACGTCTGAAATTTGAGTAACCGTGACCGGCTTGGAGGTCAATCATGCCTGTGCAATTCGGTCTCATACCTGTACACTGGACTGACTAAAGTAGTAGTTCTCTTTGAGCCATCCGCGGTGAATGTGTCTCATGCAGCTGTATTCCCGTCAGTCCATAGTGAACGATTTCATACGAGTGTGATGTAAAATTGCCCCCCCCCCCAAAAATTACTGTTCCATATGATACGCATTTATTCCATTATGAAGATTCAATTACTGTTGATATTTTTTATCCAAAATTTCAGATATAAATAAAATAAAATGTCTTTTTACTTCCTTTTTTATTTATTGAATATACAAATGTACAGTCAATTTTCAGGAAGGGGGATGCGGCCATACAAAGGCTGCCTGAGGAAATACAGAAATAGGAAAGACGGGCGGCGGTGGAGCGGTTCGTATCCGGGACTTCCGGGTCACAAGTTGGTGACCTAACCGCTTGGCCACCACCACCCATGACTTCCCTCTCCCCCCCCCCCTCGCCCCGCCTCGTCAGAAGCGAATGTTCTCTCCTGATGAGCTACTGCGATTTCTATGTCCTTGTGTACATCAGCGTAATCTTAATGGGTCAAATTTATTACCCAACTGCACTATTCATTGAACAAACCGGGTGCGCGGGGGGCATTGTTGTGTTTCTGATGAACGAACACAGAAAAAATAAATGGGTTATGGGTCTTTGATTTAACCAGTACTGCTGAAACGGAATTTCGAGAACTTTGCCCTTGCGATTTTGATATTCCCTTCATAACTTCCTAATTACACATGCTACAGAAGCCACAGGACTCATAGCCCGTGAAACAAGATCTGGGTCAGTACTGCACTTATTTGTGTCCCCAGGCATCAGTTGAAGAGCTGTACCCGGTTAGAGGCCACTGGTCATCGTTGATTAACCACTAGTCAGCATTCAGCAGGTACTGGCGATCGTGTAGTAGGCCATTTATTGGACATTAGCACCAAGGGAAGAATAAACAGATTTTCGACTCTCCCGCCCATTCCCCGCCAAAAAAACGAATGCGTCGCATTGCGTTTGACTGTTTGGCCCAGTCACGTGACTGGACAACGGCTGGTGGACAAGCATGATGCCAATAAAAGTTAAAGTATATCTTTCACTCTGGAAAACGAAGTAATGAGACAGTTTTTCTTTCCGGCCATACTCCTGTCCGTTGCGGGTAGGTAAAACAGTACTGGTATACCGTCAAGCACCTTCCAACGTAGACTGTAAATTCCACTATGTCCAGCCGAACAGTGAGAAAACATGTATGGTAAAACGAGAACCCGATTAATCGCATTCTGGAAGTTCAAACTATCAAAGAAAATCAAAGTGGAGTAGTATTAGCGCAGGTTTCCAAACAAGCAATCACCCGGACCTACGGTCCGGTTACTGCGTTTCACGGGCACATTGCTATTCTCATTAAACCTTTGCAAAACTGTTCAGACCTCTGAACCTATATTTTTGAATATTTTTGAATAGAACATGAAATTATCCTCTGAGTTTGTTCTTATTCGAGTAGGAAGTTTTTATTGCACTCACTATGCAGTCTAGTCACCTAATCAGGTTAAACATTCAGACGTGCTGTGACTTAATGCGTGCGGGGTGTCGGAAATGTATGTACAGTCAATCTCCTGCCATGTCGCACCTCTGATAAGTCGAATTTTCCAATATCGTCCCACATTTTGGAAAACTCAAACCAACCGTATGCGTATTCACGGAGTTTCTGACCATGCGGTGTCACCTCAATATGTCACAGTTCCTGATACCTACTCACTGCATCATTGACCAATGTTCGTGACGGCCATTGACCAACAAACCTGCAATTTTGCACTCAGCTAATGGCGTTTCACCTAGTGTGACAGGAACATGACACTATTTACTAGTTGGATAATCCTTACGAGGAATACAAAATCGAAGGTAGAGTCACTTAACTTCAAAGTCTGCAAGCGCCTATTGATCAGAGAGAAGCAGAATGTGTTGGAAATGCTGAATCAAAGCTGCGTAACGAAATTACTGGTAATTAGAAGAAAAACTGTTTACTATATTCTATATCCCATCGAACTACCATCGGACAATTGGTGAAGGTTATAGCATCTCAGGAAACAAGCCACCTGAAAACCAACGAACGGTTTAAGATAGTGAATGAAACAACCATGACTTAAATTACTGCTATGCTGAGTGTGATATTTTCAAAATAGACGAATCAGCTTTGTATTACAAGCAGCTCCCAGAAAGAACATTAAATCTCAAAGGAAAAACAGCTCCTATATCTAATAAATCCAAAGAACGAGTAACGTTACTGCTTCGTGGGAGCATGACTGATAAAAAAGTATCACCGTTAGCTTTTTTTAAATTTCAAACATCAACATGTCTCCGAGGTAAAGAAAGAAAAAGCCTTCCCTGTAGTCATAGTTCTTTAAAAAACTCATGGATAACGGTGAAAAAACCAGAGGACTCGCTGGAACTCCAAAGAACCCTTAATACTGCCTATCAATGGTCGATCGAAAATGACATGGAATTTAACGCATCAAAATGTACGATCGTATCCCTCCGACATAAAACTCGGTTCCCGTATTTTCTAGGGGATCAACAACTTCCATACGCCTCGAATGAGAAGGGTCTCGGTGTCATTGTTCAAGACGATCTAAGCTGTTCCTTAAACTGCTCCTGGGAATCGTCTACCGCTGTAAGACACGTTGGTTTGCTAAAACGAGTATTTAGCAAATTTGAACCTACGCTGTTCCCACGATTGTTATCAGCCTACATTCGACCCCACATAGAGTACGCCATTCAAGCATGGAATCCATGGCTGCAACGCGATCAAAAGATTCTGGAACGTCCACAAAG